CACCTTGCATCAACCTTGCATACTATTTATACAGATAGTGCAGCGAATACTGATGCATCTTTTTCTCCTTGTGTTGTATGGAGAGCCAGACTTTGAATGGAATGGTGTACGGATATTACCGAGTCTACGGAATCAGCGGAATATGCAGGCGTCTAATGCCTGAACCTATGACTTCGGTGCTTGTGGAGAAGCAAGTTAAGGGATTGTAGATGCTGTAAAAATTGAGTCATGCGTCTCTTCATACTACGTAATTGCTGGTATTAAAGGAACATACGCCGCCAATCTCCATTCAAATACCCCAGACTCTCCATCTCGGGGCGCCTTTGCAGCCACTGCCTCAATCCTGACAGTTGATTTCTGTGTTTAATCAGACAGATTGAGGCTGTGTGTTCTGACATCGAGTCATAATCATTGATTCATGCTTGTTACGAACTGATGCTAGATCAAAGCTCGTAAAAAGATAGTGTGGGTATGGAGGAAAGGGGCGTGCGAATGGTAACGAATAATAATACGAATGCACAGAATTATGGTGGCAAGCTGCAATTATAGTACGTGGTACTGCGATGTAATGCTGAAAAGCGTGAACGAATTCGAAAGCGAAGAGACCGTGATGATGATAATTATGATGCATGATAGGTCATTGAAATGATGTCGAAACTTGAAGAGGTGATAAATTTAGCAAGTCCTGTGTCATCGGATGAAAACCGTTAATGACAAGACTCGGAAGGTAAAGCGTCTTTGGCATTATGTGAGACCCTTTGAAGAATGATCGCGGTGTCGAAAGCGCTATAGTGATTGTCGTGCAAGTCGTATGTTTTGTGATATGCGATGAGTGCGCCGGTCGACGTCGCGGGTATGAGATATGTTATATGGATGATGCGGATGTGGGTGGTGGTACAATGCATTGGGTTGTCTAGGGGCCGACAAATGAGGTGTTGGAACTAGCTGGACGATCACTTGTGCGTGATATCCGGCGTCCGAGCTTGGAAAAATAGTGAAGTATCTCATCCATAGTAAACCCTAAGAAGCGACGATGGCGAAAAGCACTAGTCAATCTCTGTCACAGTGTCTTCGAATAGGGATCAGAACTCACCCTCGTGAAGTAGTCGAGATGGGTTTGAAGTCTGTGCGTCCACTCTCAACGAAGTGAGAGAGGACTTGCGCCCAGTCGTCGCGGGAATCCCAACCGATTTTGGCAGGTGGGTCGACCTCAACGGGCATCACCTGGGAGGTGGAGCCGCATTGAATGATGACGACGAGAGTGCCGATGCCACCATTTTGGCGACAGCGTTCCTCGCGGCGCTGGATATCAGAGATGACGAGAGGGTCGCGGATGTACGTCCGTGGGACGACATGCGTGGATGCAATGGAGAATCTGACCAAAAGGGTACAATGATCAGATGAATGCAGCATGAAATGGAATCCAGAATGCTCACCTGCGGTGTGCCTCTACATGATTGTGGTAGCTCAACTCGATGAGGAGAGCGTTTTGCCTGACGTTGGCAGGCACGCGTTTGAGCTGGAGAGCCTGGAATCCTGCCCATCCGAGCAATGAAGTATGCGCGGAAGTGAATTTCCGAAGAGTCTTAGCAAGATTCTCGTCGGCATATCCGCTTGCGGCGGCATTAGATGATGCCTGTTTCACTTGCGAAGCGGTGTGTTGGCAGATGGCTTTGTGTGAAGGCCAATGGACTTTCTGGCAATCTTGGGACTGGAAGCGAGGACGTCAATGACTCGGCAGATAAGGAAGGACGGTGGGTAACATACGCAGTATTGTGTGGTCATCTATATAGACGTGGAATGTTACAATAGATGGAGGAGTCATGGTTAGAACAGGTTGCGTATTAAGATCAGTGATAAACGTACGCATCCCCCACATAATCTGAACTTCACAGCAGGAGTCTCCTCCGTTCCGCATTGGTCGCAGATGCGGTACCCGCGTTGTCGTTGGGCATGAAGTGGGGCCGTGTTGTAGTTGGCGGCAGCGGGCTGACTGTAGTAGGTCGTCATGGTGTCTTTGTGTTGTCAGTCTTGTGATGTTTACACACGAGATAGGGGACAAGCACAGGAAAGATGAGAATAAGTCCAAACCAAGAGGTTTGAGTCAGAAACCGACGACCATTGTTGTAGGTGTTATATAGGGGGACGAGTGTGAAAGGTTAACGAGCTGGAATAGTTAATTTAGCTGTACATGGATCTGGATTGGACGGAGGAGTGGATCTGGGAATAGCTGTCGATCGAATCTGACTGGAGATGGAGAGATGAGTAGAACAAAAAAAAGTGTCGAGAGCCGTACCGGCATTCGCCCCCGAACTGCTACATTTTAGGAGGGACAGTCATCCCGCGCGCAGATTCCTTTTTGTTTCGTCACACCTGAGTGAGGACAAAGGAAGCATGCAGCGCGGTCGGAAGTTTTGCTGTTGTTGTTCTCCCTGTAGGGAGTTTTTTGTTTTTGTTGTTTTTTGTTTCGAAACCTTTTTGTTATTGCCGAATGCGAATACACTTTGATGGGGTTAAGGCACCCACGACCTGCCTGCAAGCAAGGCAGATGAACGGGAAGAAGCAATAGATCGGCTTTCTTCCTCAATCTGTGCAAGACAATAGTCGATGACGGTGCTTCGAATTCGCAGAGTATTTCCCCACCCAGATCATGTGGTTCGTAGAACAAAAGGCCGACAGGAGCCCATCTCAGGGTTGCGTTTCCTTTCCAGGAGGGAAAGACAATTAGAGATGACATGGGTTCATATGGCCAGCGCTTAGAGCTCTTACTTTTCTTCCACGCAATGGTAGCAAGTGCAGAGACAAAAGGCAAAGAAGCCATTTCTCGGATTATCGTGGCGAAGAACGTCGCTTGTAACCCAACTCAGGACCCTTGAAGACGTAATATCCTCATTGAGGCGATTGTGATTGTCTGGAGGGATGATCTTTCTCATCGTCACACAAGCCTACCCTCAACCGCCGACTGTTCGGGAAAGCCGCACACCTCTAAAATCCAAACAAGGTCCTGCACGATGCCTAGGCAACATCGACGACCCACTGCACCCTGCCATTGGGCCCTGCGTCTCCTTTGTTTATCCCGCCTGGCTTTTTGAATCCCCGAACAAGGACGATCTAGGACCCATCGGGCTATCGCACTGTCGCTTATCACCTTTTAAATCCGTTCCACGCTTGAATCTGGCACTCTTTGCAAGTTCCTTATCCTTTATGTATGTCACAAAAGAAATTGGGGCGTTGGCAAAAGGGTTGTCACCAATCGCCGAAGCTACTTACGGATTATGTTTTCGCAGAGTTGTAACGATGTTGTTGGGCATCACCCTTTGCATTCACCAAACCTTTGATTCTTTTGCCGATTGCATGGAATCTGGGGTACATTTCCAAGTCTGAGTGACAACTGCATTCTCATTGCCGATAGTCCTCCACGACCCACGCCACTCAATCATGAATTTCAACCCCATCAAGGCCCATTTCAGAATATAACTCCCAGTCCACTGGCTCTTTGTCGATGTGCGATGTGAAAGGTGAGCGTTGCTCCGATTTTGGGCCCTGAAGAAAAACGTGGTTTGCCACGTCCCTCATCGTGTGCACACCCACATTACAAAACTCGTCCAAATCGAGTGGTTTTGCCAGTGTGTTCAAATCTGAGGAAGGGTCGATCTGATCTATACAATTCTCGAGTAACTGTTCGCGTGAACTGATCTAGAGTGAAATAAATTTGCCCGTGGACCATGGATTCAATCGTCTATCTCTGGATTTTATGATTCTTCATGTCTTGTTTGATGCCAAACGGCCATCGTCGGCCAAACACTTTTCCACACCGATAAGTGGAATCGATGATTCGATTTACCGTTATGCACGTTGACCTCGATCAACGGCTTTGTGCCAGTGCCCCAAGTGCACCTTCTGCGATATCTTATACGTGTTCTAATTACGGTCTTTCATCTCGGTAACCCAGAACAAAACCTTGCTGTCAGCCATCGATGATGATAAGGCCCACTTCCATCGCTCACGCGGTTCTGTTCTGAAGATCCCTTCTTAACAATCGTTGACATATCTCTGTTCATCACTTGTATGCTCCCGCCATGCACATTCGTGATCGGCACAGCTTGAGGGGAAACATGTGGGCTTAACAGTGGACCTTGACCGGAATTTCTCGGGCACGCGCAGTTCGTCCGCGCGTGAAAAGCAGGTGAACAGGTGTATCTGAACGAGCTTTTTCAGTGAATCGTAAACGGATGCAAGAATGCTGTACCAACATCTACCTTCAAATTTCCTCTTGTACTCACTATATCATAGAAGGCACTTCTGTACCGCGTTGTGATCGATTTGAACCATCAAGTCTGCCCTTGCACATCTCCAAACTTGGTTAACGGATGTTAATCAAGATTACAACACTGATGAGTGCTGCCCTTGGTTTGCCCATGCTATGTAATACACCATCAACGTACCATTGGATACTTGCTTCACGTTAACCACCAGTGTACATCAACGCGAGCCTTGTATAATCCACGTGCCACCTCGTGGCACCTGCAACAAGCTCGCGGAGCAGGTACATGTCCGTAGCGCCCCCATATTCCCATCACTAGTTCAATGCCACCGAACTTGACCAATTCTGGCCGACCCTTCGGATGTTCCAAATGATCCTGCAGACATGTAGTGGGCGGTAAGAGAATATCTTTATAGACTTGCAAAATTCCATGAGAATATGAGCCTCAACCGGAAGTTTGATCTGTTACCCTTCTTGATGTGAAAATCTGTGCTGTGTGCGCCACAGTCTCTTACAGTCTGCGGTGGAGTCCATTCCGGATGACACGTGACATGCATCAACCTTACCTTCCGGAACCATTTGAGTCCTTCTGTCATTATTGGAGCGCCGTGTTTCTACTTATATGCGTCTAAATTTCGAATTTCCTCCAGCCGAGATGAATGCTCGGGTCTTTCTTTCGGATCGGATCAACAAGAATGGAATTGTGTTACCTGATATATGTTTATCTGTACATTACAGCAGCATGGCGCAGTGGCAGCGCGCGGGGCCCATACACTGGTCACCCCGAGGTCACTCGATCGAAACGAGTTGCTGCTAGTATAAAGCGAATCAATTTTTTTCCAACTTTTTCCTCTGCATTTTCTCTCTACCTTACTGTTGGCTTTGATTTAGTGACACGTTGCTACCTCTATGGTAACAATAGAAGCTTTTGAAATCATATTGATATCCTTAGTCCTCAGCCTCAATCGTAGCACTGTGATCATCGCAGATAAATTATGCTTCTACATAATCGACGGAGGACAAACCATGCCAAGGTAAACAATATCATAAGATACATACAGACTTCTATTAAGTAGCAGTCGGTCAGACGGTCGACAGCATTGCCGCGCTCGTCTGGTCACGAACACCCTTCAGGAAACGTACCAGGTCCGTACCGCCAGTTCCTTTTAGCGGTTCCTGCCCCGCGCCCTGAAGCCCCTTCCCCAAGTATTCTGAATCGTAATCTGGCTGGTTCGACCTGGCATCAAGGCGACCGCGACGAGCAGGGCCAATAATGAACAAAGCAACGATGATCATATGTGCATCCCGAAACTCCTTGAGAGTTAGAACAGCAGTATTGTAAGCTTCAACAAGCTCTGCCCCACGTTTTTTCGTTTCAGGATCGGACGTCTTCGAACCGACGACAGCGACGAAGTCTCGAACTTGATGTGGGTTGTGCGCAAGGTGGGTCAAGAACGCTCGGTGATGGCGAGGCATATAGAGACGCATGCGTTTGAGTAGGGATGATCTTGCGAGACTCGAACTGGAATCGCCTTTTCCCTCAGAGTGGTGATCGACCCCTAAGAAAACATCAAGAGCCTGGATGAGCGCACTCTGACCTGCACTAGGCCCCGATAATTCCACCGGCTCAACAAGGCTAGGGTCCTGCTCGATGCCTTCAAACACCCACTTTCTGCCATTCTGCGAATCCTCGCCACGAAGCCACGGCCGGATTTTGTGGTAGAAAACTTCAGGATCGCAACCGCGCTTTACATCAAGGAGCTTCGCCTTGAGAATACGAATGATGTTCGCCAACTGGCGTAAATAATCCGTTATTCTCCGAACGGCAATATCATCGCCGACGAAGAGTTCGTCCATCATGGAGCGCATGAGGTCAAGGGCCTCTACACCTACTAACTCTAGACGGCTAGAAACAAGGTAGAATTCGACTTCATCGGGAGTAGAGGTAAATGTGGTTGTGCAACGAAGAGTAGAGGGTATCGGAAGCTCGTCTGGATCGGAGGCGTCGAGATGCCAGTTGTAAAGGACATCGTCCGAGTACGTCAATATGGGAGGAAGTTGAAGCTGGGCGGAGACTTGGAGAAGTGGTAGGGATATGGGAGCTGGTATTCGAATAGGATGAGACGGTTCAAGAGAATGAATATAGAAATGCATGATCCATGCTAGAACAAGATGGGCCCGCCGCAGGCGAATTTCTGAGGTCTTCAATCCATCGATTGATAGAATAGGGAGCTAGAAACAAAATTCCATCAATTTAGATAAGAGAATATGACAGTCAGATACATACATCCTGGACCCGACACCTCCAGATCTGGGATTGATTTCGTTCGCACTCGGATAAATCAGGGGTATCGCCCAACTGTAATTTTTGCGATATGGCTTCATCAAGTATTCCTTCCCACTGTTCCCATGAACCTGGGAGACGGCGGGTAGGCGCTTGGGGGGGCATGAAGCCTGTCCTTGTGTCGACATCGAAATCATGTGCTGCAAGAGTGGTGGTATCTACTCCGCCAGCCGGAGGCCCGATGAGAATGTCAGGGCGAGGTTGAGAGAGGAAGTGGTCTGCTCGCAAGTGATCCATAGCAGAATCCAAGGGTTTCGGAATGAAGTGGATATATCACCTCAGGCTCCTCCTGCTGGTGGAAGGATGGAAAGGTCTTGAGCAATTGGGTTGTCACAACATAATGTATAAGCGTGTTCCACAAATGCAGATTTGTAAAAACATATATACGATCTAATCAGATCACCCTCCCGTGGATGTCCGCAACAATACAATCCGGACCGCTGCATTCCGTTCATTTCCGACCCGAGGTAATGCCAAGATCAAAGTTTATCCCATTGAGATTTCTTCCTACAAACCATTCGAGACAATAGAGTTGTTGTAACCACGTTCGTGTAGGCTCGCTGTCCGAAGTTCATATTCGAGGCTCAAACCTGGATACGTGGCGCTCAAGAACTCATGCACATGAATGGCGGAAAAGTGCATCAGCATATGGCCAAACTAGTCACGCTTCTGAAGACCTCGTCCTGTGCTTGTCCTGTACACTCATGTGCATCTACTGCGGATTTGAACTGCGAGTCGCCGAAAAAACTACGACCTGGACTGGCAAAAGAAGGCCGGCTCTGGGGCGCACGGAGCATCTGATGACCCCCATCCAGAAACACAGATCTATTGCCTAAACGAAGGCGGGTTGAGGGAAATATGGTGCTAGCAGCTCTCGAAGGCGCTTCCCGGAACCGGAAATGGGCAAAGGTGAAACCTAAAGTTGCGTCTCGAAAATGCCTGAGGCGGTCTTAACCCAGGGCGTTCTTGACTTTCAAAGATCAACGATAGAGGCAGCATCTATAAGCTTCTCTTTGTATAGCATCCCTTCTCCGTCCTGGTTGCCTACTTCATAGGCATGATGAGCGCCAGTCTTCATGAGACGAATGAGAGTTTCTAACTCATTTCCCGACCTTAGCGTTCATATATTTCCGAATGTGACTTGACGATAGCGGTATCGAGGAGGCGCTAGACCATTTGCAAAGTATCAAGTGTACGAAGCACTCTCTGCAGTTGCCCAACTTCCAAAGTATTTAGTGGGACTAACGTGGGCATGACGGACTGGATCGTGGTCATGTACTTCTAGCATTGGGTTCTAAAGTTGATAACGCCTTCCTAAACGTATAAAAGACTGCTTGAGAGTAAGTTCCTAACCTTCAATCGACTCCCCTACGACTCCCCTTGGACTCCCCTTGGACTCCCCTTGGACTACGCACTGTGCCAGTCCAACCATCCTCCCCAGAAGGGGTCTAAAAGTTTCCATCAAACATAACACCAAATTCTTCCCCAAGGATGTACGTCATTGGAATTTATTCATGTACAGACAAAAGTCTAAATACTCAGACTAAAAGCTGACACCTACCCTGCCGCAATATTCCTCACGTCCATCACAGTGGCATCATCGGGGTCCCGCACATGTAAGTTCCTTATCTCCTTCTGACACAAGACTTCACCACCCCAAAAATCTTGGTGACCATGGCACGCACGGATAAGACCCGACATGTACCCACTTGGTGCCTAGCCACGGATAAATCCTTCCATAAGAACATTACTCATTTCGTGATGATTTATTCAATTCGTTGCTCAGGTATTTATTGAACGATACACCTCCATCACAAGCTATGGACAGTCTCACTCTGGAACACCTCAAGACATCAATACCCGTCGCACATGTATTCGACGTCGACCAACGTACGGGATTCATGGCTCCCGAGCCGCCTCTGTCCCGTTTACCTGATTTCTGGGAAGCCTGGGAGGCAAATCTAGACGCGGCCGTAGAGTCAAAGATACAGTTGGGAGACAAAGTTGGTCTGACCGACGCGGAAGCTACAGCTTCAAGGGTATGGCGAGAACGGGTATCTCAGGTGCGTCAAGTCACAAATTGTCGTCGTCCGGATCATAAATAACCTTTACTGACCAGGCACCCATACTGTCCACGATCGGTCTTATGTGCTCACCGATCCTTCTGCGACGTGCGCACCTCGTACTCGCCTATACTCTGCACTTCTACGTACAAAGTCTTCCACCCAATGAGCCGGTTCTTATACCCAGGTCCATTTCCATACCAATTCTTCATGTCTCCAAGAAGCTAGACATACCTCCGATTCTGACCTTCTCCGACACCGTGCTGTATAACTGGGACTTCAGGCCGAATACAAGATCCGAGAATGCTGTGCCCCACCCGGACACTATCCGCACACAAACCATGTTTACGAGAATGGTCGACGAGGAAGAATTTTACCTGTGTTCTGCCCGTATCGAGCTTCGCGGAGTAGAGATTCTGGAGCTGATGCGTGTGACGATGGACGAGACCTTTCTCGGAGACAAGATTGCTGTCCGACGGATCACGGACTACCTTCAGACTATCGCCGGTGTCATCAACGAACTCAAGGCACTTCTTCTCGATGTCAAGAAACTTTGTGATCCGGATGTTTACTACAACCAGGTCCGGCCATGGTTTCGCGGTGAAGACTCCTCCGAGAACAAGAGAGAGTGGGTTTTCCAAGGTGTGGACGATGATCCGGAGCTTCGCACTCCGAAGGAACTTTCAGGGCCCAGTGCCGGCCAAAGCTCGATAATCCACGTCTTCGATATATTCCTCGGAGTAGACCATCAGGCTACATCCCCGGGGAAACCTTCATTCATGTCGCGAATGCAATCGTACATGCCACACAACCACCGATCGTTCCTGAACCACCTTAAATCGAATCCACGTCCTCTCCGGACGTTTGTGATGAACTCAGATGATGCCGACTTGTTGGCAGCCTTCAATCATGCTGTGTTGGCATTGAAAGAATTCCGTGATGCGCACATGATTATTGCGGCATTATACATCTTGGGCCCTGCAAGAAGGGCAGCCAAGCTCGCGAGTAGAGGAGTCGACCACGCTGACGAGGTGACCTCTTCCCCATCCCAAGCGAGCGATTCGGTAAAGGGGACGGGAGGTACAGATTTGGTGAAATTTCTTAAGGACACTCGGAATCGCACGAACGATGCTCTTATTATACCCTAGAAGTTAATGTTTCTTGGACTTATGGTTGTACATAGATCAACTTGTTTGCTTGCCCTACGGATTCTATAATTCCATCTGATCACGATCAAAAACCTTGGAAGAATCTGATCAGGCAATGTTGGATGCCTATCACTTTGTCACCTCTGCTATTTGGAGTGGAGGAAAGGTGGACACTTTGCGTGAGACTGGAAGGCTATTGATAACTTGTCACGTTGGACAAGACACTTGTGGAATCCGTACCTTAATCATTTCAGCTTAATA